ATTTGGAACCGTTTGGCTTTTAAAAAACAACAACTGAACTGATCTACGGTGGATTTGGTCACGTTAAACCAAAGCCTGAGGCCCCTCCTGATTTCAAGAGTCCAAAACAACAAACTTCTCTGCTGGTAGAAAAGTCCTGGAACAGAAAATCCAGAGGTTACGTAACAGCTCCTCTCCGTTCCTGCTGGACGCCCGTGGAAGTTCCTGAGTGGGTCCACAGAGTTCCTGAGCAGCTGAGGATCCGGACCATGGAAGTTCTAGAGGTCGAGTCTGACGTTCAGACAGTCAGTGACCAACTTTATTAAAAAAACACAGTAAACCCGGTTTTCATTCAGCTGAAAACCAGAAACCAGATCGGTGTTTCAGACACGACTGGGTTTAGACGATCAGCTAGCAGGTTCTCCGTCATCCATCATTCTGGTTGTGTTTAAACCACGAGGGGTGGCAAGGGGTGGCCGCGGGCCCCGTGGTGCCCCCTGGAGCCGTGTTCTAAAACATTCTGCTGCCATCTTCAAACGCATTAGTTAAGATTTAACCCTCCCACTGCCCTCATGGGGGACCCCGCCAGGAAAGGTGACCACTGGGCAGGGTTGATGGTTTATCCCTGGAGGTCCACGTGGCAGGGGTGAGGTGGTGCTGCCACATTAGGACAGCAGGAGGGTTAAACCTACCGTTTTCTTTAGAAACTTTAAGATGTGTTTTTTATACGTGAGGTTTAGTTGAACTCTGCTCTGTTCTGGCTGAGAGGTCAGCGTTCATCAGCCTGGCTGCCCTGCGTGTGTGTTGTGGTTTAATGAAACTAGTTCATGGAGCTGCAGATCGGGACAACCAGGCACACCTGTGAGGTGTCGGTGACCCCCCCACCCCTGGGCATGGCTCCAGGAGGGAACCCCGGTACTCCAGTCCAGTCATTGCTCCATGCTCCGACTCTCTCCTTTTATCTTGAGATTTGAATCATGACTGGAAAATGAAGCCCGCATCCATGATCTTCCTCGACCTTAGTGATGGGAGCAGCTGCTCCTCCTCATCCTGACCAGAAGGCCTCCTGATCTCCTCCCTTTGGGGGGTTTCTGGGTGATGGGAGGGATCCTGCCCTGAAACTCCCAGAGCTGCGGGTGTCTCAGGGTTTCCCCTCTCCTGTGACCCAACCTGGGATAAGCCAAAAAAGATGGCTTCATGTTCGATCCCAGTTTGGGAATCCCAGACCTCCTAGCCGCCCCCCCCCCTCTTCCATAAGACTGAATGGTCCCATACATTTCTGACAAACTGGTAAAGGTTTGGAACGTTTTGTGTCTCGAACTTCAGCTGCTGCTGCTGAGTCTCTAATTTCCCACTTTTTCGGTGCGTTCTGGATCGTTTGCGCTGCAGGAGTCCGGTTGGGTTGATGGAAGCCTCAGAGCAGCAGCGTTGTAGCTCTGGTCCGGCGTCCGCTCCGTTGTTGTTTTACGGTTTGGAGGTTTGACTTTTTCTTGGCCTTTGTGTTGTTTTAGCTCCACATTATGTTCACGTTGATGCAGCCGAACATCTTCAGGTAGAAAACAGATCAAACGAGTGACTTTGGCGTCTTGTTGTTTAGGATGGTTCCTGATGCCAGTGGCTGCAGCTGATTGGCTGATCCCAGCTCTCCGTCACCAGGAGGACTTTGATCGAGCTGTCAGATGAGCCGCGGTCCCGTCTGGACTCCGCGGGGCCGGGCCGACGGCCAAAACCAACAGGCCCGTGGAGTTCCCGTCACCTCCAGCAGGATGTGACATCAGGATGTGACGTCACGGGCAAAGGTTGATCCTGTTTGTGCACACGGAGCTTCAGTTTACAGCTGAGCAGCTTCCACACAAACACGCACACCCGGGGGACTCTGTGTTCTGTGGTTCTGCAGAAATACTTCACCCCTGCCCGGGACAACTCCAGGAACATGGGAGAAACTCGCTGTTCTGTGCTCTTCCCTTAACAAATACCAGAAGACCGGTGTTCTTTTTGATCATTTCACAAAACAACTCCGAGTCCCTTGGCTGTTGATTCTGAACCCGAGCACGCAGAGCAGACCAGATGCAAACACATTTTCAAGCACATGACGAACAACAAGCTAACAGCTGTGGAGAGAAAACAACAACAACACAAAGTAGATGCGAAAAGGGCAAGCTGGCTTTGCTTTTATGGCGCGCTTCACACACGGAAGCAGTTCAGATTCCAGGAGCAAGAACACAAAACGTTCAAATCAACGTAAAGCAGCAGATTTTAAAATCAAGTTCAAACGAACTCAAATCTAATTAAACGTAAGAAAAAAGAGTAATTTAAAGGCTGAGCAGTTACAGTGCAGAAGGTGCGGCATGGGGAACGTTATTTAGCAGCTGATGAATACATGAATGTTTTCCGTTTTGATTTTAAAGTTGGGGCACATCTGAAAGCTTCACCCTGTTTGGTTCTGACCCGGTTCTACCTCCTAAAGATCTCAGAGCTCTGCTGGGTACCATAAATGGTAAATGGCCTGTATTGGATGTAGCGCCATCTAGAGTCCTGGAGCCCCTCAAGGTGCTTTACAACACAATCAGTCATTCACCCATTCACACACACATTCACACACTGGTGGGGGTGAGCTACAACGTAGCCACAGCTGCCCTGCATGGGCCGCACTGATAGAGGCGCACCGGTCCCTCCGACCACCACCAGCAGGCAATGTGGGTTAAATGTCTTGCCCAAGGACACAACAGCAGCGACAGACTGAGCGGGGCTCGAACCTGCAACCTTCTGATTACGGGGCGAGCACTTAACTCCTGTGCCACCATCGCCCCATAAGGAGATCCAACACACGTAGTCTGGCCCCATACCTTTGAGTACCACTGTAAACCCAAAAGTTCAAATAATCAAATATATTGAGTAGACAAAACTCATAATTAAAAAAAATGTTTTTAGAACTCAAATGTGTTGAGCTTGTTCAACCTTTTCCTTGTTTTAAGTACATTGAACTATTTATTTTCTAAGTAAACTTAACTTAAATTAATCAGTACGGACAACTTAACTTTAATGAGTACAATTAACCAAAAATGATTGATTTATTATTTTATGTTTCTATTTTATTCCATTCATCTTTACGTCAACCCTAAAGTGTATCTGATAAGCAGACTTGTATATTATTTTAAATATTTGTGGATTTACAAGAAAAACAACCACAAACTAGCAATTCTGTTGGATTTCAGGAACAATAAACAACTTGGGGGGGGGGGGGGGGTGCATTGTGGGTAGTCATGTTTTCAGTTATTTTGCTCTATTTTGGGGTGTTAATGGATCTTTATTGTGGATGATTGTTGTTCTCAGTTATTATTTCATTCAGTGTTGCAGATGTGGTGCTACTTTTTGTATCACGTTGGCCCTATAAGTGAGGAGGTTGGTCAAAGTAATGCTGTACGGCTGCGCCGTCCCATTGTTATTAATACTGTGGTTGTTCACACCAGATACTCTTGACTTGACTTAGAGTGCTCCACTTTTATTGGCTGTTAGCATTTATGGGTGTGTGAGTCATGATCTGGTGTCAGTTACTGCCTTCACCAGCCTGTCACATTGTCACTTTTAAGTAAATTCAACTTATTTGGATTAGGGTTTAATAGGTCCATTTAGAGTAAGTGATATTATTTAAGTTAGTAAAAACATGTAATAAAGTTCAAATAAAATAAAATAAAATATGCAAGTTTAGTGAAATTAAACTTTGCAAGTTGCTTAAGTACTAAGTTATAGGTTGGAGGAAGTTAAATGCTTTGATTTTATTCAGGTCACATGTTTTAAGTTATGGTAAAATTATGGTTTCTAGATAAGTTAACTTGCAGCAGCCGTTTATTTGTTTTGTTTTACTCGTTTTGTCTTTGTGGACAAAATAAATCTGAAAAAATAAAAAAACTAAAACAAGCAGCAAGATTCCCTGTTTAAACAGTTATGGTGAATGGCCTGTACTTTATATAGAGTCATGGAACCCCCCAAGGCGCTTTACAACACAATCAGTCATTCACCCATTCACACACACATTCACACTCTGGTGGTGATGAGCTACGATGTAGCCACAGCTGCCCTGGGGAGCACTGACAGAGGCGAGGCTGCCGAGCACTGGCGCCACCGGTCCCTCCGACCACCACCAGTCCCATCTCTGCTGTTCCTACTGGGATGTGCTGCAGGAAGCCGGGGCATCGCCAAGGAAACTGAGCCGTGTGTGTGTGTGTGTGTCTCCACTAACACACTCCTCCATATTTTCATCCATTTTTATCCTGCAGAGTCCCATCAGACACTGAACCTGTAATCCATCTCCTCCCATAAAAGCTCCTGCAGAGTAAAACCTCTTCATCGACTTTAAACTGTTTATTTTCCTTCGAGTTGAGCAATTCAAAGAGACTTCTGGAGAAACAGAGCAGATTTCTACAGATTTTCCCCAGAAAAGGCTGAACTTTTACTATTTACCATTCATTAATTCAAAAATTAACTTTTGATCCCAGATGTTGATGCGATAATCAGTTTAAGTAAAGGATTCATTATTTCTGACTCTGTTTGCTTCTCATCAGTTTTGTTTTGAAGAAGAAATGACTCCAGGTCCTTTAATCTGAACTCTGAGGAACTCTTCCGGCTCATTCTGCAGATGACTACACTTCCCATGATGCACCGGGATAAACTCTTGCATAAGCACTTCCTGTGCCTGAGGCTGCTGGCTGTAAGTCTGACAGTATCCCAGCACCCTTTCAGAACCGAACTTAGTTCACACACACACGCACGCACGCACACACACACACGCACGCACGCACGCACACACACACGCACGCACGCACGCACACACACGCACGCACGCACACACACACGCACGCACGCACACACACGCACGCACGCACACACACACGCACGCACACACACGCACGCACACACACGCACGCACACACACACGCACGCACGCACACACACACGCACGCACGCACACACACACACGCACGCACGCACACACACACACGCACGAAACACTCGGGAAGTCATTTATCTTTCAACTGTTTATTTACATCAACACGCTGATTCATTCTTCCATCAGGTAAATAATCAGACATGACGTCACTGTAAAACAAAGTGTCCAGTTGTGTCCGAACAGGTGAGCGGAACACCTGCATCACTTGCAGCCCAGTCCGGAACGTCACGTGCAGCTCCTCGCTATCACTCATCGCATCAAAACGCCTCCATCTCTGTAACTCCGCCATCCAGCACGGTCCAGTTCGGTTCGGCTCTCGGAACCAGCAACGACACCTCACGCGCTCCTGACCGGATGGGTCGGTTTATGCATCCACGGCTCGGTCCCGCGCCTCTCAAACGCCGTTACGCCTCTTCTCACGAGGACTGGTCGTTTGCGTTAATTCAGCTCCATCCACCGCTCCTCGGCGGTTCTGCTCGGTTCGGCGCCAGTTAGCGGTCCTGCAGCTCCAGGCAGGGGACCCACTGGTTCTTACAGCGGCTCTCCTTGCAGAAGCTGCTGACGTCCTGCAGGGCCTGGCACTGCAGCGGGTGGACCGGGGGATTCTGCAGAACAAGGCGGACATTTGCTTTAGTTTCATGCAACACAGATTCATCTCCTGGTTCTGATCTAAGTCAGGTCCATTGATGCAGCAGCGCGAGCTCAGAACTTACAGTGACCAGGATGCAGTGCAGGTCCCGGGGCTCGCCCCCGTTGCCGTTCCCGTCCTCGGTGTCGTCGCCCAGCAGCTGGGCTAGCCGCCGGATCCCGGACACCCGCAGGATGTTGATGTCGTTGTCGCAGCAGAAAGCCTGAAGCAGCGTGAAGTGGATCTGCAGCGCGATGTCATCTTCATCCTCCTCATCTGTGGCTAGGAGGCAAAGGACCACGCTGTCCGGATCTCTGTAGGAGGAGAACAGAACCGGGTCAGAACCAGCACCGGCGCGCGTACAGGCACCAGTCGGTCACAGCTCCTACTTACACATTCATGAGTTTGGCGGACTCGTAGACTCCCACGGTGAGGCAGTCCTGCCGCTGCGCCGCCACCAGCAGCTCCTCCAGAGCCTGACTCACCGGCTCCATCCTGCAGAGACACAGAGGCGGTTAGACGGGACCGAAACCGGCACAGAACGCAACAGAACCGGCGCGAGCTCTAAACACTCTGATAATCTTGCATCATTTGCACTAAAATGTGAGCTTGTGCGTAATTACGCATCATCTGAAAGCAAATACTTACTTTTTCTCGGTGCTGCTAGACCCAACAACTTCCTCCAGAGTCATGTCGAAGTCAGTTAAATAATCCACAAGATCCAGGATAAAGGCAAATATCCACAGCGCTCAGCTGTTCCGGTAAGCTCCAGAGATGAAGTGCCAAGCAAGCGTTAATCCAGATCGGTACCAAGGTCCGGTAATAGGGACAGGTCCTGCTGCTGGTTTCCGTGTGTGAGAGAGAAGCGTTCTGCTTCTAAAAGATGAAACTCTCCGCTTTTATAGCCTCCCGTCAACGCGAGCAACTGCTCGAGCACTGATTGGCCCTCTGCTATCAAAAGACACTCGCTGATTGGCCGAGCACGCAGCAGAAACCGGCGATCCCACGTGGGTGGTTTCGGAGAATCCCCCGCACTTCTCCCCTCCCCTCTCTCTGTCAGTTTGTTTACTGGGAGGGTTTTTCTGTCTTGAGGAGGAATTTCCAGATCTTCCTCCTCATCCTCCTTGCTACTCCAGACCCCCCCCCCAAAAAAAAAGTCCCTTTTCACGACTCCTCCTCAATCTGAATCCATGCAGGCACGACTTTATGCAGAACCCGGATAAGAAGCGGGAGCAGGTGACCAGCCTTGTGTCGCAGCAGCACGCACCCTCCACCCCCACCATTGTACAACGCGCTGCAGGTTGTGCAACAGCGAGATTCTCCAGCACGAGAAGATCAGATGACCCATCGCTGGTCGTGCAGCTGGAGGTCCTGCTTTATGATATTCCAGGTCAAGACACAACACCTGTGCTACTATGATCAGGCAGCTGCAGCACACAGAGCAGACACTCTAAAATATAAATACAACTATTTTGTGCATAAAAAGCTCTGAATTATTTACTTCTGCACACCAACCCGCGCGACCATGCGGCGGTTAAAGAAGATGGATGGAATCACTTCTGCGCTGCAGATTCATGCCTCACATTCTGGCTTCCTGCAAAGCCCAAGGGCGCCCCTAGCGGCGCCCCTGCAGCAGTGAAACCAGAACACGTCTCCATTCGGTGTTCCGAACACCGGCCCCGTTGGGGGGGTCCCGGGGGGGTCCCGGGGGTTCTGTTGCATCCAGTTTCTGGATGCTCGTGATCAGGGAGGAAGAGGAAGAAATGAAACTGAAAACAAAAGTCTGATGATTCCTATGAATCCTAAAAGAAACCAGAGGGAATTTTTAATAATAAAAATAAAAAAACAGAGAACGAGTCAAGTTTTCACTGATGAACAGTTTCAGACAGAAAACATGAGCAGGATTTAGACACGAAGATCATATAAACGTAGCTTTACGATCTGTGAGAAACTGATGGATTTATCAAGACAAAACAACCAGAAGGCTGTTTTACGCTCAGGTCCATCGGCCGTGCTGTAGTTAGGGTTAGTGGTGGGTTAGTTTGTGAGAGGATGATGCGCAGAGGGCTCCATTCCTTATCAGCAAGATGTTGACATGTTTTTTCCTAGAGAAATAAATTTTAAAAATAATTATTTAAATAAAAAGCCTGAAATAAAATAAATTGTATTTTAAATACAAAATATTTAAAAGATGCCCGGGAAATGCATGATTCTGCTGTCTCCATGTGGTTATAGGTTAATACTTAATGAGTCATCATGATGCAGAAAACTCAGAGTTCATGAGGCAAAACAAGAAGTCACGTGATGAATCTGCACACTATTAAAACTGTATAGCAACAGTTTAATGACTACATTTAGATTTAGTTCTTAAATTAAATTATTGATTGTTTTAGAGTCATCACAAAATATGTTTAATTGTTTTGCTTTGTCATCCGTTTAGTAACAAAGTGCTCTGGTTTGGTAAGAGGTGCTCACGTGGTTTAACAGCTCCCCCTGCTGGTGAGACATAAAAACACATCAATGTTTTCATCATCATCATCATTCTTCTTCTTCTTCTTCTTCTTCTTCTTATTATTATTATTATTATTATTAGTAGTATATTTTTTGTATATTTGTATGCTTTCACTGAAGTGCCAGAATCAGTCCATGCTTCTAAGGCAGTTTCAGGGTTAGTTTATTATTATTATTATTATTATTATTATTATTATTATTATTATTATTATTGTTTCAGTCTTAAAGCTCTAGTAAAGCTTGAAACATTTTTCCAAAATATAAACTTCAAAAATATAACTTGCCCGATTAAAAAATAAAACAGAAATAAACAGTGTGGCCAAAAAAAATTTATATGTCATAATTAGCAAAAAAAAAACATAAATAAATAATTATAAAACGCATCCCCAATGATTTAAAATCTCTCAAATACTTCTGAGGACATCTTGTTCTTGTGTTTTAGATGAAAATGTCTCCTCATTGATGGAACTGCTCACATGACTTCTGGATGTTTGTCAGATCTAAGGGAAATCCTGAAAAGATTGATTTTTTACTACAAAGAAAATCTCACAGATGATTAATCATCCACCCAACAGCAGGAATGTGGGTCGTTATGTTGATCTTGGCCCTCTTTCTCCCTACTCAAAACCAGTTGTGACCAGTTTGGGGGTGAAACTTGATGCTGGACTTAAATTTGAGGCTCACATCCACTCAGTGATCCGGTCCAGGTTCTTTCACCTGAGACGCCTTGCAAAAATCAAGCCCATGCTGTCGAGAGCCCACCTGGAGCGGGTACTGCATGCTTTTGTAATTTCTAGGCTTGACTACTGCAACTCTCTCTATGCAGGGCTGTGTCAGTCATCACTGCGTCGCCTACAGGTTGTGCAGAACAGCGCCGCCAGGTTCCTGACTGGGACCAGGAAACGGGACCACATCAGTCCGGTCCTGGCCTCCCTGCACTGGCTTCCGGTTTGCTATCGCTCACAATTCAAAATCCTCGTCTTTGTTTTTAATTTCTTCCAGGGTGGTGCTCCCCCCTATCTGGCCACTCTCCTGAACAGACACTCCCCATCACGCGCTCTGCGCTCCTCTGACCAAGGCCTGCTCGCTGTCCCTCGGTCTAGGTGTCGTACTCGTGGGGACCGGGCTTTCTCAGTCCTAGCACCGTTACTCTGGAACCAGTTGCCACCCTCACTTAGGCTGTCCCCTTCTCTGCCAGTCTTTAAGAGTCGCCTAAAAACCCACCTCCTCCGCTCGGCGTTCCCTGAACATGTTTGATTTTGGCCCTCTATTATGTTGAATTTATTTCACAGTTTTCATTGGTTCACTCAATCCATTGTTTTACACATTTGTCCTGTACCAGAATGTTTCATCTATTTTGTAATTTGAATTGCTTTTATTGTTGATTTATTCAATATATTTACCTTCTACTGAACCATGTTCAGCGCCTTGGGCTTCCTGACGGGGTTGCAGAAGGTGCTTTATAAATAAAGCTTTGATTTGATTGATTGATTTGATCCTCAGTCAACACACAGGCTTAAAGGGTTTGAGGATCCTCAATGATAAGGGCGGCAACACAATCAGAGTTCAATAAGGATCACATGACTCTGAGGGGTGTGATCACAGACTGATCACATTTAGTATCAACGACTCAGGACAAACACTGCTTATCAATCCGCTTCATTAGTTTTACTCTGAATTCAACATTTAAAAGTCTAACACAATAAAATATGTCAAAGATGCTTCAATTAACATCTCAAATGAACCTTTTGCAGCAGAACTGAAACATTTGTTGGTTAAGGATTGAGTTTCCTTTCGTATGAATTAGAAAAGGGTGGAGATGAAGTCTGATTAGACCCATTCGTCCCTGCTCACCAGCAGCCAGACAGCAGCGTGCTCACAAACACAACGGTTTGCAGCTCCAAATGAATCTAAAAGGAGGAATTTGCTGTTTTATTTTAACTTTTTCACATTCATTTTAATCAGTTGGTAAAATGTTCAAGTTAAAAATGAACCTATTTTTATTTAGAGCTAATTTAGAAAAACAATGAATGTATGATTTATAAAGTGTTTTAGTGTCAAAGCTTCATGTTAATTTCCTTTATAAAGAAGCGAAGAACAGCTCAGGGCTGAAATCTCCTGCTGGCTTGTACTCAGGAGTCTGATTCTTCTACTCTCTATGGTGCTGCATGGTGGAGCAGTGGTTAGCACTGTTGCCTCGCAGCACAAAGGTTGCAGGTTCGAAACTCAGCTGTGGCCTTTCTGCGTGGAGTTGCGTGTTCTCCCCATGCATACGTGGGTTTCCTCCGGGTACTCCGGTTTCCCCCGCAGATCACAACATGCCCTACAGGTTATAAATTGTAAGTCGCTTTGGATAAAAGCATCTGCTAAATAAATAAACATAAACATACTCACCCATTTATCCTCCACAGTCTGCTGATCTCCTGCCCTGAATACACACTTCATCTTGTTCTGTTCTCTGAAGACACATCTGTACAGAATCCACACAAACACAAGAACACCATGTGTCATTATGGTTACACGCGATCTTACCAATAAAATAGGTTTGTCAAAGAAGTCAGAACTTTAATCACAAACTTGACAGATGTTACTAAAAACAAAGTTATTTTGTGAAGAATGAAAACTTTATCGTAAATCTTCTAATCAGCCTGAATCACGGACACTTGAACTTTTTACTATCTGACCTAATCCAACGTGTATGATTTTAATGCTTCTAAACTTAATCTAATCTTTGTAAAATATTTAAAAAGTAAAAGACCTTTAAAAGTTTTCTTTGAACTTTTTTATTAGAACTTTAATATAATAGTAAAATGTATATATTTAAGTAAATCTATTTTCAAATGTTTAAATTTTAATTTCATGCACAAGATTAACACATTAGTCGTGTTTTCCTACTGAAATATGCTGCTATGTTCAAATTGCTCTTCTGTCGTTTCACCAACAGGTGGCAGTCATCAGCCACCCCCTCTTGTCGATGACCGGAAACAGACGTCACACTTTGCTTCAGAGCTTTTATTTTGAAGAGTGTAAGCGGAAGCTTCTCATCCTAAAACAGTCAATTCGCATCAGATGCGCTGCGTGAAAACGTTTTATTTTACCGGTTTAACTCGGTTTTCTTGGTTATCTAACTTTCACCAACCATGGCAGAATTTGCTATTCATCGAACAGTGAGTCAGGTTTGTGCTAAATAAGTTATAGTCGTCTTCAGAAAACAGAGAAACCGGAAATTGATATTAAAGTTTAGCTAAGAGCTAACTTTCGGTAAACTAGTTAATAAAACCGACTGTTACTCGGAGAAAATGTGTATTTATTTATGTTTATACAGTTTTTTTAGGGATTTATCATTTTTGTTAATATTTTATGTTCGTAGGACGAGGAAAATTCCCCGGAGGCAGAAAACTTCCAGACGTCCTCAGAGGAAAAGTTTGAAACCAGTCCTGAAAAGCAACAGGTTTGCATTGCCGTCAGTTTTATTTATTAATTTTTTTAAGTTTTACAAATCAGAAAAAAATTTCACTTATCACAAACAATGTTTTATATAATCTGCTATTAGCCTAGAATAAGTTAGTACAGGTTTGTAGAGCGTGGGTGTTGTAGTTTTTGAGCTAGTCCAGTTCTAGTGTGGACCAGATGCTAAATACATGCATAAATTTGGCATTTTTTAGGTTTCACAAAAGAGAAAAAGGTTTCACAAACTATGTTTTATGTAATCTGCCATTAGCCTAGAATAATCTAGTACAGCCTGGCAAAGCAAAGCCTGACGGGCCACCAGGCTTATACCGCGCTGGGGAAAACCCTGAGGTGAATGGATCCAATGAGCATTGTGAGTAAAAAAAAGTACTTAAAATCACTCAGTAGTGATTCAAATTCTGTTTGGTGACCTAAATAATCAGGCTGACTGCAAGAGAAAAATAATTAATAATAAAAGAATCAAAGGCACATTCCATGCTGTAGTTCTTTTTTAAAACACAGAGCAGTTTTGTTTACCTGTTTTAACCTGTTTTTAACAGGTAAACAAAACAAAACAGGTAAACAAAACTGCTCTGTGTTTTAAAAAAGAACTACAGCATGGAATTAGAGATACGTCACAGCAAGAACACACCTAAGATGATCAAAGGCACATATTGAGATGTGGGACAACTTTATGACAGGCACAGTCGAATAGATGGCCTTTAGGGAGTCAGGGAGGCACAGTTGTAAGACTCTGCTGAAAGGTGGAAGGCAGCACTCATGCATGTTTGGCGTAGGGCTGCAGCTATTGAATATTTTTGTAATAGAGTATGGAATCTCTTACCAATTAATCGAGTACTCTAATAAATTACCCTTTTGTGTTTGTAAACCATTATATCAGAAAGCATGTTAACAAATATGAAATACCTCTTAAAACGAGCAAGCAATTGCCAGTTATTCTTTAAGTTTTATTCAAAATTAGTTTTTCAAAACTTCAAATGCGAGCGGCTGCGGCTCAAACAGCACCAGAACCGCTCACGACGCATGCGCAAACATGGCTCGCCAGCTGTTTCCCTAGGGGCTCGACACACGGGAGGCGACAAACGACCGCGATCAGCGAAATTTGTCGCCGTCGCTTTTATTACCTGACACACGGGAGGCGACCCGCGGCAGCGGCAAAGCCGTCTACGCGTTCTGTTCCATGGCGAAATCGAAACTTCCGTTGTTTTGATTGGCTGAGTCATGTTGGAGGGAATTAAGGTTATTTAAGCGGTTCAGAGTTAATAAAGCGGTAGATATGATGTTTCACAAGGTGCTGCTAGAGTTATGTGAAATCTTACTTGTGGTTTTACTATAAAACATAATAATAATCAACTTCTCCATGTTTGCTCGGAGGTGTACGGAGCATCCTGTCCGCTCATTGGTCAGTGAATGAAACCTCCGTTGATTGGTCCTCGTCCGAGCGACAGTGATGAAAAGTTGAAAATATTTCAACTTTCTGGGATCACGTTGCTGGGTCGTCCGTGCACGACACGTGCACGAGTGCAAAATTTCACACGCACGTTTTTCACGTTTCGCTTAGTAGGAGAGAGACCCGCGATTATCGCTTTGTCGCGCATGTCTCATTGAAAATGAATGGAGGAGAGGCGATGTCGCCTCCCGTGTGTCGAGCCCATAACACACGTCTTTTTTAATTTCTACACCTTTTTTTTCCTCACACACTAGCAAGGATTGTCGATAAAGCGTGTTTGCCGTGGTTATGATTATACTGATGACAAAACATTTATTTACTTTCTTTCATTTTCCTCATAAATACCTGTGTCCTCCTGCAGCGATCCCGAGGGACAACAGACGTCAATAACAATACAATAAAAAGTTCAACGTGTTGTGTAAAAACGGCTATTTTTAGCACATTTTTAGGTAAGACGTGTTGCTACCAGATGTGCGGTGTGAGCTGAAACTGAGTACTGAAAAATGGTCAAGTTTCCACCCATGTTACGGACTCGGCATCGAGGATTCCTTTGAGCAGAGATGGTGAACCTAGGCGGAGCGCAACACGCTCCAGCAGCATCTGCGTCTTGCGCACGGCCACAGTAACATTCTCAAAGCGGCGCCACCAAAATCTATTTAACACACCATTGTTCATAGCTGCTTTGGTACTTTGTCTTTTGTTCGTGGCTGACGCGCATCGCTGCTGCGCATACAATTCAGATCCCCTTCATAACTCCGTCCCACCCAGGGCCGTATCAAAGCATTTGGGGGCCATGCCAGCGAGGTGTCCCTTATTTATTTTTTGGGGAGTTGGCAATCCTAGTTAAACTGACATTTACATTGAATAACATTAGCTAACTGTGCTACATTTATTTTCTGTTCATTGTTTACACAATAGACTTTTTCAAACAGTTTCTGAACAGAAACTGGATTTGATTTTAGGTTCTCTGTTAAAAAGAGTATTCAGTGATTTTACACGTCAACAACACTTTCTAAATAAAATGAACCTCTCGTATATTGTTGCATGTTTATTGCTTTATATTTATTATAATTAATATAATATATATTTATATCATTCTAGTTATAATTAATTGTGATTTTTTTAGATGTTTGATTAATTAGTTAATTTATTTTAATCAATTACCGGCCTCATTTAATTTATTATCTGAGTTATCAGACCTCCATTAAATGTATGTTGTGGCAAAGTCCACCTACTTAAATGTAGTAATGTTGTTCAGTTATTAGGAATCAGGGTGCAGAGACAATAATCCTGACACACTGACTTTCGTCTTAAACGTGTTACAATAAAACCGTCATTATTTTCATTAATCTGCCCAAAGCATGACTTTTTCAGGAACACACGGATAAGAAATGTGCCAGTATTACGACTATTTTGTCGCTCGTAGTAGTGTCAATGAGCGGCTGAGCGCTGCATGCTCTCGTGGTAGGGAATCACTGAGCCGAGCTGAGTGAAGTTGGCTTCCAACCCACATCAGAAATCCATGGTGGTTAGCGCTATTATGCTAGCCTGGCAAGCCAGACTAAATAAATGTATTATTTAACTTTGCAAAGCAAGAATTTGGTCTAGTTCACTAGGCTACTGTTATGCTGGATTTCTGATGTGGGTTGGGAGCCAGCTTCACTCCGCTGCTGAGGCTGGTCTGCTGAGCAGCGGGCACAGACAAAGCTGCAGCGCTGTTACTTTTTACTTTTGTGAGACGGGCAGAAATGACTATTTTGAGTCTCGTGTTTTAATCACTAAAGAGCTATTTTTAACTTGTCGGCGTCTCGTTTTTGTTATAAAAGAAAGAGTTAACGAAATCTATTCGCCATCGTTTTCGTTAGCAAAAACAACACTGAACCCTACCGAGAGCTACTTCACGGGTACTGAGCCACCCGAAGGGCTACCAAATTGACACAATAGTGACCTTTGAACTAGAAAATGTCAGAGTTAAACTAAACGTCGTGTGTAAGCATGGCATATTTTACTGAGGATGTTTTTCTGCTCAACTGCTGATCAGAACCTGGTCAAGATAAATGAAATTAATAAATGAGTTCCAAAGTAGTTTGTTGGTCTGCCTTCATGCAGGACATCACGTCCACAGTACCTGATGCTTCAGAGGAGACGGTACAAAAACAGGAAGACGGACAGACGGGCTGTCCACTTACAGAGACCGTCTCCAGTACAGAGTTACAGGTCAGTCTTTCTGGTAGGACTTCATGAAGAAATTCACCAGCTTTCTGAAAATCAAAGAGGTTTTGAGTTAAATAATGAGCAAAAGGATGTAAAAATGTTCCATCAAACCAAGTTATAAATCTGAATATGAGATCCACTCACCTGCCCTTTTTACTGGTTTCTGACCAGTGATTCCAGCAGTGGGTGAGAATGTTGTGGAACCATCTTATTTGTGTTCGCCGGTTCTTCAGTGGAAGGTGGGAGCTCCGTGTCGGGCCTGCTGGTCCCAGGACGGAGAGGTCTACGCGGCGACAGTGGTGGCAGTGGATGGGGAGCGCTGCAGAGTTCGATTCAACGAATACGGGAACGAGGAGGACATGGACCTGAGCTCGCTCCAGAGTCCTGAATCTTTACCTCTGACACGAGACCCACAGCCTCAGGTCAGGATGCGTCCGTCTTTAAACACAAAAAAACTCTTCAATGGAAACTTGTAATCCATAAGAAGGTCTATTCAATAACTGATTATGTAAAACCACATGTGTGTAAATAGGTCAAGTTCTTTTCTAGTAAAAAGTTGTTTAGAATTATTAATTTTAAGACTTAAATACCCACAATTTCATAAAATCACCATCAATTCATTAAAGTCCCAGTGTGTGATATTTTTACCTGTTTACCATCAGCTCCTGTGTTTCCAGTTCACAAACTTGTCCTGTTTCACTAATGTTTCTCACCAACATCAATTCTAAATTTTCCTCTCAACTTCAAATTTTACAGTTTTATATACATAAACAGTGGTCGAGGCTCCGTGGTCATCCACCATCTTAAAATACAGTAGCTGTTTAGGGACATTCGAGCTCCACGTTACCCGTTTGGACCGTGACTGTAACCTGACAGAACCAGCAGAGGGCAGCAGTGCGCCCTGGAAGCATGGAGTCTGCTAATTCAACAAAGAAATAGAAAAGAATAGCTACACCGTTGCTGTACTTGTTAGTTTGAATAAAAAACAATTAAATCAAAAGACACTTAAAATTTGTCCGTTTGTCATCATGTCCGACACAAGAAAGCCGCATATGTTCAGACCCCGCCCGCTATTAGCTGAACGCCGGCCTCTGGTTAGTTTCTCTGTTAGTGTCCCAACTTGTCTCACCTCAAGTTGATCATCCGTCTTTTCCCGACCCGGTCCCAATGTGTCCTTACCAGAACTCCCGACCCGGTCCCAACGTGTCCGTACCAGAACTCCCGACCCGGTCCCAACGTGTCCGTACCAGAACTCCCGACCCGGTCCCAACGTGTCCTTACCAGAACTCCCGACCCGGTCCCAACGTGTCCTTACCAGAACTCCCGACCCGGTCCCAACGTGTCCGTACCAGAACTCCCGACCCGGTCCCAACGTGTCCATTCCAAAGTCCTTCTACTCAAGTCTCCTCTCTTCCCGCAGCCTGCCGTCTCGCCCAACACGCTCCAGCGCTTATGAACTAGCCAGTGGCTAAATTAGCATTGTTTACTTTTTCTCCACAACACTTTACTGACGGCGATGTAGTTCTCCACGTGTTACTGAGACGTTCCGACTCAGAGGGCTTCTTCTCAAACGTTACCTTTAGACTTTGGTCTCCTTTTGCTGGTGATCCGTGGGAGTTTACACACGGCATACACAGCGTCTCCCCGGCTCTAGCTGTGACTAACTAGTAGCTCATGACGCCCATCTCCATCCACCACGCCAGCCGTGAGCACGATTAGCTGGTGGATAAGTTAGCATTGTTTACTTGATGTCCGCAGCGTGTCCCCGGCTCACCAACACGCCTTCACCAGTCGTAGTAAACGATCAGCCAGTGATCGCTCCATATCCATATAAGCTGGTAGCGGCAGCATGTTTGTTTACATCGAGCGGTGCGCTCCGTGATCCATGTGAAACGGGTGTTGAGGGAAATTATGTCCCCCTGAAATATTCTGTTTCCCTTAGGCAGTCAAGAGCAAATATTTCCTAATCCACAGAACTTATTGTCCATTATGAGGACTAAACTACCTCAAGTAAAAGATGTTAAACTGAGCGAGATGACATCCTTTTACATAACTTTCAAAAAGATAAATAAGTTTGCTGCAAAAGCATGAACAAGAATGTTTTTACTGTATCTTTTATTGTTTTTAGGAGGAATTATAGATGAGAAATCACAAGCATAACATGATTGCATTACATAATTTTCCCGTAAAAGTTTATCACAAATGTTGTGAAAATAGCCAGAAGTGTGATCTCCCGACACGGGGGGACAGAATATTTCAGGGAAACACAATTTCTCACAACACCTCCGGCTGACGTGAC